TCGACGATTGCCTGTGACTCCGCGCGTTCCCCCCCCCCCCTGAGCTATGCCCAGGATCGAGAGCGCGCGCGGCCAGCGCTCGCCGCGGCGGGCGTGGGGGCGGCGGGGAGTGGGCCATTATTTTGATCGACTCGCCACTGCCGCCTGCCACTTTTCCGCGCGCGCCACCTCTGCACGGGCTGCCCGAGCGTTCCAGGGGCGCCCGGGGCCCCCGAGTCACGACCAACAGGAGACGCGTGCCCTGGCGGCGGCGTCGGCCTTTCGAAAAGAAGCTCGACACCATCCCGCTCCTGCCCTGGAGCCGCCGCGCCAACCGGCGCGCGACTTCGGGCTCTCAGGCAGGGGGCCCATCAGACCGCCCAGTTCGCGCGCGGCCCCCGGCGCGCTCGCCGCGATCCGAGCGAGGGGGGGCGCCCTGCGAGAGCCCCGCAAATTTCGCGCGGGGGGTGGGGGGCCCAGTTGAAGACACCCAAATCCTCAATTCCTCGCCGGGCGCTCGGGGGGTGACCTCCCGCCTGGCGGGCGCGAGCTCGGCGGGGTCTCTGTTGCTAGCAAGACCGTTTGCGCGCAACACATGTTCCAATCGTCGATGCCACTGCTGCTTTGGTGCATTTTGCGCGCGCGTGCGTCGCGGAAGCCAGCGCAGCCGACCTCGTCGAGGAAGCAATGCCATATACCTAGACCCGGGGGCTTCGACGATTCGAGCGGCGGCCGATGGCCACGCGCCGCTTCAAGAGGCAGGCTATGAACGCGCTGCTCAGAATTTGCGGGCGCGCCGCCAAGTACCCCGCGACTGAACCGACGATGCTGGGACGACCTCCGCAGGTCCATCGACCCCGCGACGGCGGTTGCAGGGCGCGCGTTTTGCGGGCGCGGAGCACGCGCGGCAGGCGGCAAAGCGCGACCCCGTCATTCAATGCAACCTGCCGCCGCCACTGCCCCCCCCCCCCCCCCCCGCATCCCCCCCCCCCCCCCCCGGCAGACGCAGCATGGCCTCAAGGTCGGCGGCCTTGGCGGGGTTCCCGGGAGCGCCCCCCTTCCACCGGCAGACGCAGCATGGCCTCAAGAAAACCCTTCGTCGGCGGCCTTGCGGGAGTTCTGCTGGCCCTGATCGCATTCAAAAAATGTTCGACGCATTGGGCCGGCGGCGCCAGCCCGCCCCCCGCCGCGCGCGCGAAACCACCCTGGGCCCAAAGGGCCCATAGCCTCTACGACGGGGCACGCCGTGTACTTCTGGAAACGCAGGGGCCCCGTGGTGGACCTCGCGGGGAGTCGCAACGGAAGCTACAAACAACGCATTTTGCCGGGGCCCTATCTGAGGTGGCCCCCAGGGCCAAGCCTTGCGCGGGGCTTAGAATCCTGGCCACAAGCCGTGTAGCTCACAGCCACGCCGCCACAAAGCATGTAGCCCTGCAGTTGCCAAACGAAAAGTGGCTGCTACAGGATGGCACCCCTGACATCCCCATGGCCAGACCGACGAAAGCCCCGAGGCAGGGTGGTGCCGCATCAGGTTGTGGCCGTGTCAGCTATAGCTACCAGGCCCCAAGAATCCCAGCGGGGCGTTTCTTGGGCGGTCCCGGGGTCGGACCGGGCGTATGGTTACCATTTCTGGGTCGGACTCGCGCCCCAGGGGCCCATCGTGGCATCTGACACTTGAAGCGTGTCTTCGTAGCCATGCAGCAGGCCAAGGACTCGGACTGGAACACCAACCCTGGATCTGTCTTTCGAAAACCGCTGACCTGACCACAGGCGTGGCAAAGAGGAGCTTCTGACCTCAGTCTCGCCATGGAACTTTCTGCTGCGCCAGCGCTCCGCGCCCGCACGTCGCGCGGCCCCAGACCGAACCCGCAGAAAACCAACTAACCCAGTGCCGATGATAAAAAAGGACCCCCCTTTCCAGGTTAGAGTTGATTATCCATGGCCAAGAAGAGTTTGGTCAGGGGCGCGGGGCGCGGAGGCCGAACTTCTCTATCACTGTGAAAAGTTCACCATCGAGGTGAGCTTCCATCTTATGATGAAATGGCAACATCAAGCGAAACGAAGACGTTTTCAAGGATGCCTCAAGCGAAACCAACAATTTTTGGAGGCAGCCTCAAGCGAAACGATCGATGTTTCAAGAATGTCTCAAGCGGCACCAACAATTCTTCGAGGATGTCTCCAGCGAAGCGAGAGACTTGTCGATGAGAGACTTCCTCCTCCTCTTCTTCCTCCTCCTCCTCTCTCGTTTTCTTGTTGTTCTCTCTCTCTCTCTATCAATATCTCTCTCTATCTCTCTTTGTCTCTGTCTCTCTCTCTCTCTCTGTCTTTCTCCTTCTCCCCCTGACCCCCTGAACTTGTTTTTGTTTTGTTTATCGCTGTGGTTGACTATCCACGGAAACCGAGGCACACGAGCCACCCTACACGAGCATATGAAAATCTGAATTTCCACTGTTTGTTTACACGTTAAATTTGATAGGTTTGGAACTTTGGCCGTTCTCCTCCTCCTCCTCCTCCTCCTCCTCCTCCTCCTCCTCCTCCTCCTCTCTCTCTCTCTCTCTTTCTCCCCTTCAGTCTGTATATATTTCTCTACTTCTCTGTCTCTCTCTCTCTGTCGAACTATATGTATATTTCTGTCTCTGTCTCTATCTGTCTTCCTCCTTTTCCCCCTAGCACCCTGAACTTGTTTATCGCTGTGGTTTACTATCCACGAAAACCGAGGCACGTGAGGTACCTTACACGAGCAGATGAACGTCTGAATTTCCATTGTTCGTTTATATATTGAATTTAATAGTTTTGGAACTTTGGCGTTTCTCCTCCTCCTCCTCCTCCTCCTCCTCCTCTCTCCTTCTGTCTGTCTATCTTTCTCTACTTTTCTCTCTCTCTCTCTCTCTCTCTCTCTAACTCTCTAACTATATGTATATTTCTGTCTCTGTCTCTCTCTGTCTCCCTCCTTCTTCCCCTGGCACCCTGGACCTCGATCCTCGATCTCCTATTTTCAACCCTCGGACCTCGGTCCTCGATCCTCGGACCTCGCCGCCGTCGATCCTCGGACCTCGATCCTCGACTCAGGGATCTCGATCCTCGATCCTCGGACTTCGATTCTCGATCCTCGATCCTCGGCTTTCGGTCCTCTTAACATCATCTCTTTCTCCTCCCACATGATGGCCTCCGGTAGGCAATATTTACAATCCCCCCGCGAGCCCGAACTTGATTGTCCCTGTGGGATTAGTATCCGTGGGACAGGGTGATTCACTGTGCTTTGGAGGCCCTCGAGCCCTTGCGTTGCGCGCCCGCCACTTTGGGCGCACCCTTCCTGTCTTCGCCTCCCCCTTCCCACGGCTTTGACATGGAAGTGGTGCGGTTTCATAAAAAGCCTGGGGTCCATGGTACAACTCGATGGAGCGTCGGTGCTTCACTAGAGGCACGCCGCCACCTCTGGGGCCATCCGGCCCGCGCGTAAAACTGTGGCCCCCCGTGCGGCGCACAACGTTGAAAAGAAGGCGTCGTGCGCGGAAGCTTTGGGTACGTCCGAGGCACTTTACGCTGCGCCTCCGCGGCCGAAGTTAACGCGGCAGAAAGAGTGGCAAGATGGGGATAGCTCACGAAACCATATGCAGAAGTCTCTTTAACTAACATTTCGTAACACGTGTTCGGGCCCTGGTTCGGGTCAACAGGCTATCAGTCAACCAGATCCCACATGTGTGCCGATTGCGTTGGCTTCCACGCCCCATCGCACATGCCCCCCTTTCCTGAGGGTGCTGCTGGATGCCGATTCGCAAGATGATCGCGGGTGGCTTGCGCTGTTGGCGGGGAGGGTTCGTTGGGCCTCCTCTTTCATGGAACGCGGTGACCCCTTTTGTCTCGCCGCTCGCCAGCATATAACACCTCCTCCTCCTCCCCCTCCTCCTCCTCCTACTCCTCCTCCTCCTCCTCCTCCACCTCCCCCTCCTCCTCCTGCTTCTCCATTCCTTCTACATCATTTCTTCCTGTCGCACCCCGAGGCCAGACTTTAGGGCGGGCTGGGCATTTCCCCTGAGACTTCCTCACCACGTATGACTCTGAAGCTAAGAACTTGGCAACAATGTTACAGATGGAGGGCGGGTCGTTATCAAAACATGGCTCTCGCCTGAGCGAGGCGCACCTTCGTTTTCAACATGTGCAAAAGCTTCACGGAATGAGGGCGGGTGGATTTCAAAATGTGGCTCTCGCCTTAGCGCGGCGCACATTCGTTGCAACGGATTGCAAGAGCTGCACGGGTTGAGGGCGGGTGGTTTTCAAAGTGTGGCTCTCGCCTTGGCGCGGCGCGCATTCGTTCTCAAAAAATGCAAGAGTTTCACGGATTGAGGACGAGTCGTTTTCAAAATGTGGCTATCGCCTGAGCGCGGCGCACATTCGATCTAAAGAGTTGCAAGAGCTTCACGAATTGAGGGCGGGTGGTTTTCAGCACGTGTCTCTCGCCGTAGCGCGGTACAAATTGCAAGAGTTTCAAGGGTTTCCATCAGCAACGTGTCAGGAATGTTTCGAAAAGATTCGGGGTTACGCGGGTGGTACAATTATGTTGATTCGCTGTGTTGAAATCCCAAGAACGGCGTTCTGGCACGATTCAGGATTGTCAAGACGCAACAGTCAGGTTGATCCGTGGCGTTGGAATCCCGAAAACAATGTTTGGGCGTGCTTCAGGGTCATCAAACGGTTGTCTTCTAAAGAGGCAGCCCCTTCAATGGCAATGAAACGTTGTAGGGGTCTACGAAGAGGGAGCTTGGAGGGAGGGTTTATTCCATTATCGTTAATGGCTCTTGGGTTTACACTGGTCCTCCTCCTCCTCCTCCTCTTCTTCCTCCTCCCTCATCCCAAGGTTCCTCTCTCTTCTCCGCCCCTCAACCCCCCCCCCCCCCGGGACGAGACGAGGACGGCGATGGCGGGGGCGCGGGAGAGGCGGCCGTTGCAGCGCGCCGCTGCCCCGCACCCGTGCCACAGGGGAAGCAGCAGGGGGGCGGCGCTTTGGCCGCGTCGCGGAGCTCTCACTCCGGGGCGGGCGCCGCTGGCAGCCGGTGGTGCTGCCTCGCGGGGAGCAGACAGGCAGCACGATCCACGACTCGCCAAAAAGACTGCTCGCGAATGGCCGGTCTCTGCCGCGAAGGATTCGCGACGCACCACGTCGGGGCGGACACGTCCGTTTCTGGGAGTGGTGGAGCGCGCCCGGTGCAAGCTGCAGTCAAGACTGATAGCAAGGATGCGCGGTGAGAGTGCTGGCTCCTCGGACGCCCGTGCTGAAATACGCTACACTCGAGCGGGGCTGGTCATCCAACGTAGTCAAGGATGGACCGAAGAGCCAAGGGTGCCCCAGGCCACGGCTACCCGTCCTTACAATCGGTGTCGACTATACTCAGATGCTCTCTCGCCTCACCTGACATCCTATGCCTCTCGCCAATCCCTTCCCGTTGCGCTGAGGTGCTCTCTGTCTGCGGACCCGTGCCATAGCCGAACTGCAACTCCAACAGAGCAACCACATCGTGTTATGCGCAATCGAGGTGGTGGGGTGGGGAGTGCTTATGTGCTTCTCAGCTGGACGCCGCCAGTGCAAGCTGCAGAGGGGCGCTACGCCAGCTGCTCAATCCAGCCTCCAGGAGTGAAGGAATCAAACTCCTCGAAACGCCAACTCTCCGCTGACTCCGCGGGTGGAGGCCGCCGTTGATTGCCCATCTTGTCCAAGGCAAGCCCTAAAAGAGGGGGGGGGAAGGAGAGCGAGAAGCGGGGGGGGGGGGGCGGGGGAGAACGAGGGGCGAGGGAGAGGCCCCGAGATCTGGGCGTGGCGATTCTTCCACACCGCGTGCTTCCCCCCCCGGTTTCGGGCCCCGCGGGCTGGACCGTAACGCGGCAGATCCTTCGGGAGGCCTGCTCCGCGCACGGGGGCCCCACGAGGCGCCCACGAGCGGGCACGGCCGCCAACGAGGCGAATCCTCGGACAATCTGCCCAGCGCACGCGGCGCCCACGAGGTGGGCGGGGGCACCCTCCTGGAACCCCCCGCTGGGTCCCCCGAGGGCCTGTGGGCATTCCTGGGGCCCTGGGGCCTACTGGGGCCCCCTATTGGGAGCCCTCCCTGGGACTGCCGGCGGAGAGACCCACGCGGGCGCGTGCCCATGCCGGGAGCCCCCGCCGCGCCCCCCGGCGACGATCGAGGTGGCATACAAGTCTCGATGAGAGCGCTCAGCAGACGCAGGGCGCGGAGCTCGATGAGTCAGTCGCCCACGATCGCCTTCGAGAAGGCTGGGAGCACGCTCGAGGAGATGGGCGTGGTCGCGGCGGCGTGGGGACGAAGCCCACGAAGTGCAATGGCCAGCTCATCAGCTCCGTGGGCACCTTTCTCGTGAGGATCGTCGAGACCAAGACCCTGCTCCTCACCTAAGCTGAGTTCACCAAGTCATGGAGGATCTCTACGAGATGTTCAAGGAGCTCAACGAACACATCAAGACGTTCAACCAGCCGAGGCGCCCCGTCAAGCGACATGCCAGCGATCCCCTCGACGTGCCGAACACCTTCCCCGACGACGATACGGCTGGCGGCGACCCCCCCCATACGATGCCGCCATGGTACTAAGTGGTACGATTGCCCTTTCATCAGCGCTGGTGCTGCGAGGCGCCAATCCTTCCAGAGGCCTAGAGCCCGTTCCAGTCAGTCGGCGATCGTACGATCGCCCCTCTTTGCTTGGAAGCTCCCAGGGGCCCAACGGGGGCAAAACGTTTTCCTCCCTCCCTCCCCCCTTTCTCCAACAGCCAGAAGCAAGGAGGGGATGGAGCACCAATGCTCGAGCATTACCTAATTAACGTTTTGTTCACAGAATTCCGTCTTTCTGCCAGCCAGGCCCCCTTGGCAAAATTCTGTTGTTTTCCAGAAGCCATGGTACACAGAAAACTGCTGGCTGCGTCGGCGCCTCCGCTGGGCCCGCTGCCGCGCGGGCCCCCGCCCAGCCGCGCCCCCGCAAGCGCCGTTCGCGCCAATCTCGGAACGGCATGTGCGCGCGATCGCGCGTGGCAATCTCACCAGCAGTCGGCTCGCGCCCATCCTTCTTTCTCGTCAGTCGCTGGGCCCCCATCGCTATCATCCTCCCCCCGCCCAATGGGCGCGCCGCTTTCGCGCCCCACGTCGCAACTGTAGATCCAGCGCCTCTTGGTCAACGTGAGCGGCCTCGTCTTCCGCTCGGGACCGATCAGCCACTTTGATCTTCTCACCCAGCCCCTCGCCCACTACGCCCCCGCCTCGGTGGTCAAACCGAACTTCCTGCGAGCCCTTCGCAATGCTTCTCGCCGCACTGATTATTACGCGAGCGTCTCGCTAACCGAACTGACCTTGCACCGGCTACCCAGCGCCCGCAACCTGCGCGCGGGCCGCCCTACAACGGTCGGCGTGGATTCTGGTGCCATCAGCCTGCCGCAGCGGCGGCCGCGCTCATTCTTCTCGCGGCGCCCGCGGTGCAAAACCCAAAGACGCGCGCTTTTCGCCGCGCGCGCGTCAACCGCCGACTCGATCTCCCCGCCATCTCTCCACGAGTCTTTCTCGTCGATTGGACCCGGGTGGCTCTCGTCATTCTCGTCCTCGTCGATATTGGGCTCCTCCTGGCAGTCATCATCCTCGTCCTCGCGTCGGCCTTGGCCGCCATGGAGTTGTAGCCCTACCTGGCGAAGTTGTCGCGGGCCGGGAAACTTCGCGCCTCCGCCCTTGCTCTTCTCGGCTGGCTGGCCCGACCGCGGCTTGCCCCCGCGATCGTTGCGCGTGCGTTGCAAAGCTCTTCCTCCGTGATATTGCCGCCCTTTGCGCCTCGCGTAGCGCGTGGCCCTCGCTTGTGACCCTCATCCCCGCGGTAATTTCACGGCGCGCTCGTGGCCGATGCGTCGCGTTCCCCGCCTGTCCTGCCTGTCTTGCTCTTGCCGCGCCCCCTGCCGTCTTCGCCTTTACCTCCGGGCGCGAGAGCGTCTAAGTCCATCGAAGCTGAACTACCCAATGCCAGCGCCGCCGCCTACCCAATGCCAGCGCCGCCAGGACCTTCGGCTCCAACTCAACACTCACCGCGCCCTTCTCTTTGTCTTTGCATGGCAACGCCAGGATGTGAGACATGTTGGCGTTCACTCGCTGGCCGTCATCGAATACATCCTCGCCCGCGTAGCCCTCGGCGTCGACTTTGGAAACGCCTCTCGTCAACTCTGCAATGTGCGGGTTCACCGCCACGCAGTAGGCCGCCACCACGACTCCTATTCCCCAGGTAACGCCATCCTTGTACCTGGCATGCTCATCTGATTCACCAACTTAATTTCTACCTGGCTTGCCTCGCAAATTCATTTCTACCAACGATTCTGGATGGGTCTGAGATCGTGTCCACTCGACATGTCTATCCACTGCTGCGCCTGTTGCTCTTCTGCTGCTGCTGCTCTGGCATTGGCGTCTCGGGTCCGTCTCTCCAACCCCTGCACCTGATTCCTCCGCTGAAACATACTTTCTTCCATTGCCACTGTTCTTTGCCACAATTGATCTGCTGTGGCCATCGCGACGCGCGAGAGCGGTAGCCTGGCAGTGGGAACGACCAGTCACCGCTACCATGCGGAAAGACAATAGCCCTGGATTCTTTTCTCGAGCCACACATCAACAGTTCTGAACGTAAGCTCTGCCGTCGTGAAAGCCTGCATTCGGCTGAAAGAATAGCCCAAGGCCAGAATGACCTGCAGTGCGCGGCCTAAACGGGGGACCTCTGGGACACCACCTCACTCTCACGCGTAACCGATGGGCCGCCGGTGGAGTTTAACGTTGAACGCCGGCAGCGGGGTCGCCGCCACTCTACCCGGCGCAGACCTACCGCATACACATCCAACCCCACTGAGGAAGACGCCGCGGACGCCGCGCATGGAGAAGGCACTGCCGCGTAGACGAAAAGCGTGAAGATAAGAGTGGATCCGTCCAGCCTGACGTCGACAGCCGATTTTGCTAGCAGGCCTCTCCACGAATTGCTCCAACGACGGTTGCGGCGACATCAGAAAACAACATTCCTGCGAAGTGTTTCGGAATGAGGTAATAAGGTGCTCTACGTGTGTGTGTGTATATATAACCGTGTACACAATGTGGGGGAGGTCAGTTCACGGGTTCTTGTATGACCACGTTTTCCAGGAAATGCTGTGAGCCAACGTGAAAGCGTAACAGACTTAGGAGATGAGGCCTGGTGTTGGGGGAGGGGGGAGAGGGAGCGGGCGGATGTTAGGAGGAGCGCCGCGGGAGAGCCCGCGCTCGCCCACGAGAGCGAAAAGTACCAAGCCCCGCCAGTGCCCGCCCCTCCCGCTGCTGCCGCCGTGCCGCCGCTGCCCTCCCCCCTCTCCCTGTCCCACCTCCCTGTCTCGTTCCGAGGTTGTCTGGGTCATGCGTGGGTGCCTCCGACGCCCTAAAAAGGATCTGGGAGGAACCCACCCTCGCTGTGTTTTGCTGTTCGCTACGAGGGGTAGGGTCTCACCCCCGCCGTGACGGCTGCAGCGAGGGCCTCTGAGGCCCTTCCTGCTCTCGTGGGCGGGCCCGCAAACAGATCGTGCTTAATCGTCTCGCAAGGGTGCCACACGAGCCCGTGCTGCGGCCACTGCGTGCCGCATCGGATCGGATTCACTCCCCAAACGCCTTGTCCTCGTCTTTGTCCTCCTGCTTTTCCCGCTCCTTCTCCTTCGCCTTGTCTTCCTCTTCCTCCTCCTCCTCCTCCTCCTCCTCCTCTTCTCCTCCTCCTCCTTCTCCTCCTCCTCCTCCTCTCTCCTCTCTCCTCCCTCCTCCTCCCTCCTCCCTCCTCCTCCCTCCTCCTCCTGCTCCTCCTCCTGCTTCTCCTCTACCTCCTCCTCCTCCTCTTTTCATCCTCCTCCTCCTCCTCCTCGTCCTCCTCCTCCTCCAACTCCTCCTCTGCCTCCTCCTCCTCCTCCTCCTCCCTCCCTCCTCCTTTTCCCTCCTCCCTGCGTGGGTGCCACCTCCGCCTCCTCTTCCTCACTATCCCCCCTCCTCCTCCTCCTTCTCGTCCTGCTCCCCGCTCTTCGCGCTTCCTCCTCCTCCTCCTCTTCCTCCTCCTCCGCCTCCTCCTTCTCCTCCTCCCGTTCCTCCTCCTCCTCCTCCTCCTCCTCCTCCTCCTCCTCCTCCTCCTCCTCCTCCTCCTCCTCCTCCTCCTCCTCCCTCCTCCTTCTCCTCTACCTCCTCCTCCTCCTCCTCCTCCTCGAGGGCACGCGGGCATAGATCGATACCTCAACGCAGAAATCGCTGGCGCCAGACCGTCCTTCGGATCAAGGGGCTCTCGCCCCTGATCTCGCCCCATGCCAAAAACAAGCCCATCCACCTAGGACCCCCCCTGTAGGCCCAGGATCGAGCATCCAGATCCTTGTTCTGTGTGGCGCCGTTGCTCGGCTCCAACCTTCCTGCCTGCCACCGCCTGATCTCCCTGCCGCTCCCTGGCAGCTGCTCCCGGGGCCCGCACCAGTACCAAAAGCCTATCACCATTAAGCAGAGGAGAAACACGCCGAGGATCATACGACCTGCTCGGAAGAGGAGAGATGAAGAGGAGGGGAGGAGGATGCGCAGGCTGTGGGAGCGTGAGCAAGTGCAAGACAAAATGAGGGCGGGAATGGGAGTATGACCAGCCAGACAGAAGCAGGAGAGGGACTGGGGGGGGGAGGAGCAGGTCGGGGGGACGCAGAGGTGAGGTCGGGACAGAGGTGGGGTTAGAGGAACACCGCTCCACACGGCCTCCTGGAAGAAGGAGATGCAAGCATCCAAATTGGCTCGCTCCCCAATCACACCCTCGGCGATCCCCGCTTCTTGCGCTCCCGGGCCTCCAGATGCCCCGAGCCGACGGAACACTGGACCTTCATGACCTTTCTCGCGGCTTCCCAGAATGAAGGGGAACTGGGACACACAAACAAATAGACACAAATCACCAGATTCCCCATATGTTTCAATATGTTCTGGGTTTTTGCCTTTCCCCCCACTTCCCATATCTTCCCATATTTTCTGGGGAGTCGACGATCAATGGTGTTTGTGTGTGTGTGTGTGTGTGTTTCCCCTCCCTACAGAAGGTCTGGGCCCTGGGCTCGGAGGCCTGGGCCTGCGGATCGGTGCAGGCCGCGGCAGGAGCGAAGGGCGCGCGTGTCCACAGCCCATGGGTTGCTAGACTCTGCCCCGAAAAGGTGAAGGGGCCCTGGGACACACACATAAATACACACAAATTCGCCGGCCCAACGGGCCAGAGGCGTGCTAAGATCTCCGGTAACTTGTTAACAATATTTCTAGTTCGCGCGCGCGCGGAGCGGCCCCTGGGGGCCCCCGGACGAAAAGTACCCCGGCAAGGTCCCGAGAGAAGCCCGGGAGAAGCCACCAGACCACTCCAGGGGAGGGTATTTTTCGACACCCCTCACGAGGATCGTGGCCTCCGAGGGGGGAGCCGCAATCGACTACCCCCAAGAGCCCCCCAAGAGGCCCTGGGGGCCTCCAAAACGCCGCCAAGGAGCCCCAAGAGACTCCCAAGAGGTCCCCAAGAGGCCCCCAAGAGGCCCTAAAGAGGGCTCCAGGGCCGGCGGCATGAGCGAAGCGATTAAATAAAATGATCCCCCATATTTTCTCATATTTTCTGGGGTTTTGTCTTCCCCCCCCACTTCCCACATTTTTCCATATTTTCCGGGGGATCGACGATTAATTGTGTCTGTGCGTTTTTCCCCTCCTGAAAAGGGGAAGAGAAGAGGAACGCCCGGCCACTGAACCCCACCACGGTGTGACTAGCACAGTAGCGCGAAGCATCTTGCACCACAGAAAAGACCCGATCAGTGGATGGTTCGAAACTTAGTGATATGGATATCGAGATCGAACGTGAGATCGTTAGTCGGACCGATAATAAGGCCGATCGTGAGACCGATAGTGAAGTCGGTTCGGTGAGATCGATAATGATATCGATCGTGACATCGCTCGTGCGATCTATAGTGTGATATTGATTATGACATCGATAGTGAAATCGATAATGAGATCGCTAGTGAGATCGATAACGAGGTGGGTAATGAGATCGATAGTGAGACCGATCGAAAAGAAGATCGAATAAGAACCCAGGAACCCAAAGACCCGGGAACCCCGCCGCCCACCGAAATCGGCCTGGAACCAACAACCAGGAACCAAGGAACCCAGAGCCGGCAACGCGGAAATGAGGCCGCCCACCGAACTCGGCCGGGAACTTTCACCAAATCTTTCAAAATCAGCTAGGACCCCTTCAGTGCAAGAACTGTTTGGGGGAAGATACCTTATGGAAGGGCAGTGAACAGGAGGGTGGAGAAAAGGTGCATCTGTCGTGCACCTTCGGGGCCCCACGGGTCCCCTTTTGGGGCCCCTCAGGGCCACCCTTGTCCACCGCCCCCCCCGTTGATCACCCCCCATTGCGAAACGCCCGAGAAATGTCTACTCTGGCTTTGCCGCGCAAGACAACCACGCTTCGTGGACCAAGCCGTGCTCAACGGGTAGACGCAGGGGGAGCCAAGAAAAATACCGATGCCGCTGCTCCACGGACCTCCCCGGGGTTGCGTTCGGATCACATGTCGAAGCAAACCCAGCGGTGGCGACGAGGGCGTCCAGGGAGGCCCAGAAACGCGAAACCCGGGCAAGGGTAGCGGCATCAGCACAGGCACCGTGCTTACAGTGCAGGAGCGCAGAAGAAGGAACGCGAAGGGGCTTTCCCGGCCACGACGATCCTTTGCCACGAATGTGTTCTCTACGGCCTGGATCGAGGGAACGGCCCCCCCCAAAAAACAGAGCTCCTCCTGAGCCCCATGTGGTCCTACTTCAGCGTGTTGACTGTACCTGTCCTCATCTGGGTCGCAATCCCGTCCTGGGCCGTCCCGTCGACCCACGAGCCTGTTCGGCGGTCCGTCCTGGCCAGGATTTCGGTGCGAGCCCCGTGGGGGCACGACGGCATTCAGAAACCTCCAGGAACCATGGAGCCGAGAACGAAAATGCACAAATTGGTGAGGGCAATCAGACATGGTGTCCGCCTCACTCCCTTCCTCCTCCTCTCCTCCTCCTCCTCCTCCTCCTCCAGCTCCTCGTCCTCCTCCTTCACGTCCTCCTCGTCCTTCTCCTCCTTCTCCCCTTCCGCCTCCTCCCCGTCGTCGTCGTCGTCGTCGTCGTCGTCGTCGTCGTCGTCGTCCCTCCTCCCCCTCGGGGCCACTTTCCTGCTAATCTTGAAGTTTTTCATCCTCGTGGACCTCAGGATTGCGAGGATCAGCCTGCGGCGCCCAAGTGGGACATGACGGCCCTCGTGGCGGCGGCAAAGAAGGGCGACCAGCGCATCGACTTCACCAACGGCATCGCCCAGTGGATGACTGATCACTCCGACGAGCTCACGGCGGCGCGCGACCAGGACGCCCCCGACCAAACCTTCGAGCTTCTCGAGAGCTGCATGGTCGAGGTTGGCTCCGAGAATTTCACCAAGCCTACGGACATCCCCGACGAGTAAGCGCACTGGGCGAAGTTACGACGCGACCTGCTCCAACCCCAGAGTCGACACGCGCGCCTCGCGCGCGACTGCTGACGACGAGGCGCCGGCGCGCGTGGAGCAGGACCTTCCGGAGCTATCCCAACGCCCTCGCGTTCTTCGACGTGGGCATGCTCGTGCGGTCCGGGGGCCCTGCGTCCAAGCCGCTCACGGCGCGTGGGCCCGGCGGAACCTGTGCGAGGCAATGGGATGAGCCCGCCGCGCGGCCGGTTGTCGCTTCTCAGCCAAAAAGCGGGGCGGCCGGCGCTTGAGCGGCACCCCCATCTCCCATGCCGACTGGCTCGCAGTCTGGGCGCCTCCTGGCGGCGACGGGGGGGGTGCAGGTTAGCCTGATTGGCCCCGCCGCTTGGCGTGCCACTCGGGATGGCATGGGCTTGGGCGCGACCTCTGACATCGCTCGCCACGAGGATCGGCCCCGAGAGCTGGGGCATCAAGACGTCAGCCGCCTTCGCAGATGCGTTCGTCGCGCCCCGTAGCGCCGGGTGGCGACGGAGGGATCTGCCCCGCTGAAGCTCTGGTGGCAGCTACTTCACCCCGATCGAGGCACGCAGCGCCAGCGCCCTGGTTTCGGAGCCCCTCGAGTCCCTGAGGGGCCCACGCAGTTCCTAGAGACCCGCCTGGACGGGGCGATGAAGATTATAATTTCAGATTTGACACCTTTGCAGTGGGACGTGCGTCAGGGATGTGCTTTACGCGAGTCGGCCAAGCCTGGGCCCAGAGGCAAGAGGGTGGCCCACGTGCCGCCAGTGGTGGGAACATCATTTGTTTCGCGCATTTGTTTCCCAATGAACTGCCCACCGAAGATTACGGATCTCAACGTAATCGTCGCCGGGAAAAGGCCATCATGGCCTCGCAGGCGATGGGCTGGAGACTTCGACGGGCGGGGTGGAGTTCCGGAGCCGGTCTGAAGGATGTGAGTAACACTTTCGGAAGTTCTAGCTGGGTGGCCATGCGCCACGCCATATCTGCCCTTGCGCAGCCCGGGCATGCTGCCCTCTGTAGAAAGAAGTATCGTGACGCGGTCGTCCTACTTCACAGTGACTCAGGGGATCTGGCAGTCAAAACAAGAAAGGGAAAAGTGACGGAGCCCATTCAGGGTGGCCGCTTTTCCACGACGTTCAGTCGCCCTGCGCAGAAGTGGACGGACGCCCTTCGCGAGGCAGACCCGTCGCTCAAGCTCTTACGCGCTGAATGGGACGACCAAGAGGTCGGCCTTAGCCTGTTCAGGTGCGCTGATGACCTCTACCGCTACACCCCCATTGCCCTCGTGGGCCTTTTCTAACCAAGCTAAAATATTCAGATGATTGTTTCGACTCCATCCTCCAGGACTACGGTCGTGCACAAAACCGAGACGAACAGGAAGTGGCGGTGTGGATCGAAGGGGGGAGGGCCCTGTCCTGCAAAATGTGGCTCCGCGGGCCTGGACGTGCCCTTTCACTCTGGGGCGCTCGCGGAGGAGGTGAGATATCCTGGGCCCCACACCTCGATGTCCCAGGCGTCCAGTCAGGAGGCTGCCCGACGGCATCAGGCAGTCCGGTCCACCTTCTATTCGTTGGGCGGCTTTTGGTCTCTGCGATCGCCGTGGAAGTTTACGCGTTCATGCTTCTCTGTCGTTGGTTCAGAATTCAGCGCTCTGCGGCCTGGAGGCCTTCTTCTTGATTACCAGGCAGCAACGTGCCCGACCCGACGTCGCGGCGGGCATCACGCTCGCGCGGCGATGCGCGGCAGGGCTGGCTGGAAGACCGAGTCTGGAGCGACCCGCGCCCTGGTGACAAGAGGAGTTCCCAAGCATTGGCACATCGGCGAGTCGCGCGGCGAGCTTGGGACCCGTCGCTTAAACTGGTACAAAGTCTGGCCCCGCCACCCCTCCGACTTCGCAAAGGGAGAGAATCCTCGAGGATAACAAGTAGTTGTTGTTGTTGTTCTTCGTCTTTTTTGGGGGGTCCTTGATCACCGCCGTCGCGCCTCCAGTCTGCCTCCTTGATCAAGCTGTCTTAGACGGCCGTTTCCAGCTGCTCTCCGCCCTCTTCGGGCCCGCGCCTTCCGAGTTTGGGCCTGCCCCCCTGGTCGACGGCGCGCTCGCCTCTGCGGCCCGCCCGCGGGCCCGGCGAGCTGTTGCAGACCTTCAGCGGGCTCGGGGGCTCCTTCCAGGCCACGAAGGCCTCTTGGGATCTAGGGCCCGACGAGATGTTGCAGTGGGCTCGGGGGCCCCCTCCAGGCCACGGAGGCCTCCTGGGATCTATCGCGGTTCGCCCTGGTCTCCTCTGGGATTCAGAGGCCCAGACCGACTTCGAGAAGATCGGCCTCGCGGCGGCTCGATCGAGCGCGTTCGGCGCACGCTTCGCGCCCTCCGACTACGCGGACGCAGCCCCCGAGGCCCACCCCAGAGAAATCGCGGAACCCGGGGCGCCCCAGTTCGTCTGTCGGGCTGAAGGCTGCGGGAAACGTTTCACTACCAAAAGAGGCTCACGGCACACATGATATCAAAACGTGACTGTGGATATCTTTGCCGTGTTCTGACCCCCGTGCAATGCGTGCATCTGCTGTCGGGATGTCTTTTGGGGCAGGGCTTGGGCAGCTCGGCGCCTGGCATTAGCAGTGCCGCGGGGACACTGTCGTTTCGGTGGGGGTGGGGCGCTTCGACCTCTGGTGCCCCCCTCGCCCCTGCAGTGTTCCCCCTATGCGAGATCGAGGAGGCGTCGGACTTGGACGACTTGTGCCGCCACCTACGCAGCCATCTTCCTGGCCCGGCCCTCCCTCGGCATCACCGGCGCCCCGCGGGCGCCCCTCGCGTCGCTCCCGGCAATAGCGGATGTGGCGGCGGCGAGCTGGATGCAAGGGCCTTCGGCGACTCATAAGCGTGGAGCAGATGGGGCCCACGGCTCGGCGCCGCCAGCCAAGCAGGCCGCCAAAGGGAAGAAGAAGGAGAAGAAAGGCGACCTCCACAACGTCGTGCTGAAGGTGGTCGCCAAGCAATGCCTCAACGACGCGCGTTAGCTGGCCAACCTCGCGGGCACGGTCTTTCAGACCTTAGATGCGGCGGAGTCCGAGAACACGGAGGTCTGGGCATGATTGCCGGCCTCCGCTTAGAGCGGAGGTCTGGGCATGATTGCTGGCGCTGGGCCTGGGCACGATGGTCGATGTTGCTGTTTGGGCTCTGCGGGTTCGGGGGTATATGCGGCGAGGTTTTCGTTATCTTCTTTCGGAGTATGCACTCCACCGAGCGCTCAACGACTCGGAAGTTGAGTTGGGCCAGCCAGACTCCTAAATGCATCCTGGCGCGTGCCGCTACCGCGCAGGCTTTTGAGTTCGTGATTGTAGACGCGCTCTCCGTCGCCAGCGAGGAGCTCCTTTTTTTTTCCTCCACACCCCGGCGCAGAGCCATGCTCCCATCGGTCTGTGCCGGCCTGGAGGTCCGAAAGAGCGCCGCTCCTCGAGGCGCTGCTGCAAGGCTGGCACAGCTGGCAGCGGGAGGCCCTGGAGGGGGCCACGGGCACAGCGGCGGGAAACCTCCCGCGGGCTAGTCTCCCAGGATGTTGGCGCCGATCGCCCAGCCAGGCCTGCCAGCAGCCACGGCCTCGGCGTACTTCTGCAGTGTGGCGCCCTCCATCAGGTCCTGCTCCTCGTCGCTCTTCGGGCTACTGCCCCACAGCCCGATGTCGAGCTCCTTCACGTCTGGCATGCTCGCCAGAAGCTGCTGGACGAAACCCACCACGCGGTTGCCGTCGTTGTCGACGCGCGAGTAAACTTCCTGACCGCTGGTGTGCTTCATGATGACGCTCCTCCACTCGGCCGGATTTCCTCCTTCTCTTAGGGTCACGAGGACCTCCGACTCGGAGGACCTTTGCTCCGCGCCCAGCGCCAGGTCGGCATGGATGTGCCTGGTCCCGCTGGCCCGGCTGGCGGCGGCTGTCGTCACGGCGGCGGCAACGACGGCCCGTCTGAGCAGGCTCCAGGGGCGCATCGCACGGACCGGTGGCAGGCGCCCCAGCTCTGGAACCCGCGCGGGAGGCGCTTGAGCCAAAATGGCTACGGACGCCAGCGAGGAGCTCCTTGGGCCGTTCATTGCTGGCGCTGTTTTGACGGGGACAATGCGGCTGACGGGGCGGCCCTGCTGACGCTGCGGGGCGCCATGGCTAAGTTTTCACACAGTCACTCTCGGTTTGCACCGAGTACCACACCCAACGCTTCGGCTACTGCACAAGCTTTTGAATTGGGGCGCCCGTGACCTTTCCCCGTATTCCCTCCACCAATTCATGCAACGTGGTGTTTGTAGACACGCTCTCCGTCGCCAACAAGAAGCTCCTTGGGCTGTTCATTGCCGGCGCTGTTTCGGCGAAGACTATGCGGCAGACGGGACGGCCCTGCTCACGCTGCAGGGCGTCGTGGCCAAATTCTCAGATAGTCATTCGCGGTTTGCACCGAGTGCCACATCCTACGCTTCAACATTGCACGTGTTTTGATTCCGATCCCACGAGTAACTGTGAAGTCGGGTTGGGTCACCTTCGACATATCGCAAAAGCAACGTCAACGTTCTGAGCTGATGGATGTGGCTTGCGAGCTGAGAGTCGACTCCTCAGGCAGAACCTCGACCAAATGCTCAACGTTGCTTCTGAGTTTCATTTTGTGGGGAAGGTCCTTGTTACGGCCGCTCCACTCGCCATCATCACCAGTCCGAGAACACGATCGCCAGGATCTTGATCGACGCAGGCATCAATGAAGGGGCCCCAGGACACACAAATAAATACACACAAATAACAATATTCCCCATATTCTCCTATATTTTCTGGGTTTCTGTCTTCCCCCCCACTTCCCATCTTTTCCCATATTGTCCTATATTTTCCTGGGAATCGACGATTCATTGTGTCTGTGTGCTTCTTTCCCTCCCAACTCGTTCCTGGACGGCAGCGACGCCTACGAGGGGAGCGGGAAGAGAGACTCCCGGGACGACGTCCAGGCGCACCCGGCCAGCAGGGACCCCCCCCGGCGGACGTGGCACGACGCGTGCCTCACCCCCGCTGCAGGAAGTTCACAGGGAGAGAAGCACCAGGAACACGCGCATCCTCACGCCTACCCGCCCAGACCTAGTGAGCTACCCGAGCACCGCGCATTCAAGGGCACGCGGTCACCAGCAGTGCTTGAGAAGGCGGCGGCCCTGGTCCGCAGCAGGCCCGAGGCGAGGCTCGCCTCGAGCCCTCAAGCACCAGGAGGAGGGCGGGCAGGAGAGGAAGGGCAGGCGCGCCTCCGCCTCTCCGCACGGCGAGCCGGGACGGGAGGCGAGGTCGCTGCCGACCCAGCTCCCGAGCTCCGAGGAGGAGTCCGGCGACGCGGCTCGCGGGGCGGGCCTCTCTCGAGCGCGAGGCAGAGGAGGCCCCTCGCGCTCCTCGAGGAGGGGGCCCTGGCAGCGAGGACAGGGAGGGCTGAACCAGGGAGCGCGGGACAGCGCTCGAGGCCACTCACGAGACGGGCCTGAAGCAATGCGACCTCTGAGTAGGTGAGCGTCTTTGCGGGCAGTCAACGACGAGCGTCTTTGGTGGCCCGAGGGGCCAACCCTGACCCCTTCGAGGCCACGAGTTTCGATACAGATTCTGATCCCGATCTTCCCCCGATCCCCTTAGTTGTGGCTCCTAAACGGGCTCCACGGAGCGGTAAGGGAAACACAGCAACGCACGGTAGATCTAGTCACGAGTCGGTCCCCTAGACGGTCCCCTTAATACGTCTGCGCGACGTCTGGGTTCGCCGTCGTTCTGTGGCAGTGCTGGTTCTGCCAGAGGGGGTGCCCCGTCTTTTAAAGGATGACCCGCTCCCCCACGAAGTTGTGTCGCGCAGAGTTCATGGCCAGTTTTATGGTGTGAGATTCGAGTAACTCATTTGGACTCCCCGCGCATTGTTCATTGCTCATTGATCTTCCTCCTCCTCCTCCTCCTCCTCCTCCTCGTCCTCCTCGTCCTCCCCCATCTCCCCTTCCTCCTTCTCCTCCTCCTCCCACTGTTGTTCGTCGTCGTCCTCCTCTTCCTGCTCCTGATCTTCCTCCTCCTCCTCCCCTGACCGTTGCTCACTCCTGCCCCGCCTCCTGGCCAAATACCTTTCCCTCTTCAGTCCGGCATTGGCCGGCCGCCACACTCAACTGACCAACGAGTTGTTCTGATACACGCGCCCTGCATCCCGCACCAGACCCAGTGCCGCCGAGCACCAGTGCAATGGCCATTCGACAGCTTCCCACCTCAATGGCCATTGCAACTCGTATGTAGCCTCCCGCGCGGGCTCACGGCTGGCAGCTTGCATCCAGCATCAGGCCCACGGAGGGTCGGCACGACAACTCTCCTTGTGGTCAGGCGACAAAATACCAGATGATAGATGAACCACGCACGACCGCGAGGAGTGCTGGATCGGGGGGGAAACGATCCTCCTCCTCCTCCTCCACTCCTTACCTTGCTCATCCTCTTCCTTCTCCTCCTTTTCCTATTTTTTCACGGGCGGCGTACATATCCGTATCCGTGCCCTCGCGGTCTGGTTTCCAGGACGCGACCCCACGGGTACGCGGTCGCACGGATACGTTCCGCGCAAGGCATCCGCGGACAAAACGCCCCGTATCCGCGGGGTCGGGGTACAGGGGCATGGCCCGCGCGGATACGGATACCCATACGACCACCATTCGGGTGATAAGGAGGTTGTGGGAGGGGAGAGGGGGGAAACCAACATCTGACCCAATCGATCCCACTATCAATATCACTCAATCTGACTCAAGGGGGGAGGGGGGGGGAAGAGGGGGGGGGAACCACCATCTGACTCAATCGATCTCACCATCGATCTCACTCAACGGGACTCCACGGGACACCTCGGAACACCGCATCGATCTCACTATCGATCTCACTCAACAAGACACCACGGGGCACCACGGGACACCACGGGACACCTCGGGACACCTCGGAACACCGTATTGATCTCACTATCGATATCACTATCGATCTCACTATCGGTCTCACTCAACGGGACACCGTGGGACACCGTGAGACACCTCGGGACACCACATCGATCTCACTATCAATCTCACTATCGATCTCACGTTTTGGGACACCACGGGACACCTCGGGGCACCTGTCGATCTGACTATCGATCTCACTATCGATCTCACCCAACGGGACACGACGGACGGGACATCTCGGGGCACCACATCGATCTCAGTGTCGATCTCACTATCGATCTCACTACTTGGGACACCACGGGACACCTGTCGATCTCACTATCGGTCTCAATATCCATCTCGCTATCGATCTCACTCAACGGGACACCATATGACACCACGGGACAACGCGGGACACCACATCGATCTCACTATCGATCTCACTATCGATCTCACTCAACGGGACACCACGGGACACTCGTCGATCTCACTATCGATATCACTATCGGTCTCACTTGTTTGGAAACCACGGGACACCACGGGACACATCGGGGCACCACATCGATCTCAATATCGATCTCACCATCGATCTAACCAGTGATCTCATTCAACGGGACACCACGGGACACCACAGGACACCTGTCGACCTCACGATCGATCTCACTATCGATCTCATTCCTTGGGACACCACGGGACACCTCGGGGCACCACATCGATCTCAGTATCGATCTCAGTATCCATCTCACTATCGATCTCACTCAACGGGACACCACGAGACACCACGGGACAGTACGGGACACCGCGGGACCCCGCGAACCACCGCCGGGCGGACGGACGGGCAGGCGGGCGAGAATCATCTGTCTTGACTTCGCCCTAGCAACGGCGGGTTCATTCCTCTCGCGCGCCCACGCAGCTTCGCCTCGTCCGCACGCACGACACGAACGAAACGAAACGATTTTCCGGTTGGGGATCTCCGTTCCACTGCGGTCTCACCCCCCAACCTCCGACATTGTTCGTCCACGATGGTAGGAACGGGTTCTGGACCACTGGGCTTGCCCCAGGACCAGCTGATCATTCTAAGCCATTGTTTGACAGCCCGAGTGCCCCAGGATTCCGGGACTCCGAAAACGGGGAAACGCTTCGAGGGCTCCTTGAATCATAGCGAGCACGTGGTGTGTCTGCGCCAATGCCCTACCCCTGTATCACGGGAAAAAAATAAATCACGAATGCGGGGATTTGGGACTCCAGCGGGGCTTCCAACCGCATTGTGCAGCTCAAGAATGCTTCTCTAAGAATCACGGCATTTGCCGGGCCCCTAAACCGAGCCTCCGGGAGGTGTCTCTCAGAGGGAGCTCGGCGGTGGCCTGCACATCTTCGGAACTTGCTGGAGGCGGCTTGGGGTAGGCGGCAGCCTGGGGCCAACGCGAGCCATCCTGTGGACAAGTACCATCGCGCGCTTCGCGCGCGCTCGAATTCTACTAGCTTGCGTGAGCGCCAAAGCACAGCGCGGAAAAGCGACCGTGCCATTATTGTCCAGAACCGAAACACGTCGATAGAGAATCAACGAGGGCCTCCCCCCCCCCACCGTCATAACGCCCGTTATCACCGCGACAAACAATGCACACGCAGAGCGCTCAGAAACCGCACTTCACAACAACTCTCGTGTACATGGTACATGTCACTAGGGCGGCACCGCCGTTCTCGGCAGACACGCGCTGGCAACTTTCATCAAATCGCTCGGGGGCGGCCAACGGCGAATCGGCGCGGCAGAGAAGCCTGCCAGGACGCGCCCGCTGGACACTCCTGGACCCCACCCGATCCATCCCTTCCCCTCCCCTGTTCCCAGCAGGCTCAGTCAGAAGAAGCGTTGAGGCGCCTCGTGGCAAACCTCACAGTCTTCTACGCTACTCTCTCAGGGGCAACGATAGGGGGGGACTGGCATATGGGGGGATGCATCGACCTGTAATCGGCGATACATCGCCGATAGATCGGCGATTGCCTTTCTTGGCATGTTGGGGCTATCGGGCCCTATCCGCGATCAATGGGCGATTGGGGGTCGATGCTTATCCCCCCCTATGCTTATCCCCCCCTATCGTTGCCCTGGATTCTCTGCGGCGCGACGTCATGGACAGGTGGAGGAGAAAGGGGATGGGAGACCGCGGAATCACCGCCTGTAGCCGCATGCGCTCCAGGCAGCAACCACAAGCATCTCCAGAGCTAAACCGCGTCCCAGGAGGTCACCAAATCCCGGCGCAGAGGTGGCGCCCAAAGTAGGAATAAAAGATGGTACCTTCGGCTGCGAAGCACTGCAGCACAGGCTGGACGAGGCGCAACTCGATGAGAAATCCCCAGGCGGACTGCACTGCTCGACCCCACCTGGTGAAGAGAACTTGAAGGGGCCCTGGGACACGCAAATACATAGACACAAATGACCGGATTCCCAATATTTTTCCATATGTTCTGGCTTTTTGTCTTCCCCCCGACTTCCCATATTTCCCGTATTTTCTGGGGAATCGACGATTATTCGTGTCTGTGTTTTTTCCCTCCTGAAAACTAGCCACATAGGCGCAGCGACATCCGACAAGGCCGACGAGCGGCGGTAGAATGAATGCTCACACCCTGCCAGAGAAGCCGCGCACAGCATCAGACGGCAGATCGCCCACGGGCCCTCGATGAATCGGTTTGGCGGTGCGCGAAACAACTCCTTCTCGCACTGTGTCCTCACTCCACTCCCTAAGCCCAGCCACCGCCACCTCATTCCCCACGCCTCCTCCTCCTGTCTCCGAATGGGCGAAATGGGAGGTCAAGTTCACTCCGGTGAAGGAGCGTGGCGTCACTCCACCTCACCACGCAAAGGAACGATGTGAAAGCACATCGGGCGAGACTCCACTTCACCCTGAACGTGCCAACGAATTAGGCATAGCGCATGCGGCCAACACGCAGCCTTGCGGACCACGTATATGATATGAGCATGAAAATTCGAAGAGGAGCCCCGAAAAATGCATCGCAGGGCCACCGCGGCAACTTCCCATGCCTGGCCACGCCCCTCTTCCCCCACAACTTCTGTCCCCGACCGGAAGGTCGAGTTCACCATCGAGGGCGCGGCATGCCTGCGGACAACACCGACGCGGCAGAACGATGGCGGGACTGCACCTTCCCGCCCACCCCCCAGTTCTCTCTCTCTCTCTCTCTCTTTTCTTCTCTCTCTCTCTTTCTGTCTCTCTCTCTCTCTCCCTCTCTCTCTCTCGATCCTCGATCCCTCGGAGGCCTAGACCCGTGGCCAGCCGCGCCAGCCTCTCTGGATGCGGGCGCGCCAGGCGCGCGCGCGCGTCAGAAGCCCATGAAAGGTGTTGCATACCGCCTGGCAGATCCCAGAATTGGGGTGCTGAAGCTTGCCAAGGTCTGCAACATTGTTTCAACGGGCGTCCGAGTATGTACCGCACGATCTCTACAACAACATGTGGGCTGAACTACAATGGAAAGACGAACAGCTGACCTCGCTGGTCCCTCCACCATAGAGCATCGTTATGTCGTCTGGCTTTGTCTCGAAAGGACACCTGCAAGCGACGCAACAACGCGTAGGATGTATGACACTGCATCGGCAAGCGTGGGACATGATAGTCCGCCTGCTCAAACTGCTGCTCCTGGCCAGTCGACAACATGCGACAGAAAACGCCCCCCCCCCCCCCCCCCCCCCGCGCCCCAGCCAAAATCTACAGGCTGCTCCCACCCCCTCCCTGGCCAAAAGCCCGCGCCCGGCGCCTCCCCCTTCGCCACCCCCCGTTTCACCTCCAGCCCGCAGCACCTATGCCGCCCCCCTTGTCGTTGCCCAGGACGGGGGCCTCGAAGACCCCCTTCCATGCCCCTCCTTCACGCCCAGGGGGAAGCTACCCCCTTACCCCTACCTGTCCCACAGGGTACACACCTCCCTGCAACCCTCTCGTATCTGCCAGAGTGGAGCTGACTATATCCCCTCACCTTTTCTTCCCCAAGGGGAACTCCTCCCCTTCCCCCATTTCTTATCCGCTGGAGGGTAGCTGTCCACGCTCCCTCTTTTCACCCCTCCCCGGAGGGTTACCACCCCCTTTCCTTTCACGCTCACTCGCTCTCGCTCTCACTCCCATGCTCGTTATGACGCCCCCCCCACTCCCTCTCCCATACAGTCAAGCTACCTTCATGTAGAACGCCAAGTGGGAAGCGAACCCCCTTTGAGTCCCCCCAGAGCGCTTGGGTACACTGAGGAGCGCTACAGGAACAACTATGGATGCACCTTGGGAACAACAACCCCCGTCCGAATCTAAACTCTTCCTTATTGAAACGCCTTGACTGCATCGGCTCGCACTTTAGCACGCCCCGAGTGGGTACGGAGAACATGGGCATGATGCCCAACAACACATGACCTAAAACCGAGAGCGGCAACTCTTGGGCAGCCGCTTCCGTGTCTCGAGTGTGCAGCGCCCGCGGCGACGCCGACGGCGAGTACTGTTCAGAATGGGCAGGAACTGCTGTCGGTCTTCGTCACGATTTTGTCCTTACCCGATCAGGTTTCGTGCCCCTCCCACTCATCCAGGGAGGCCCCGTCTGAGCGAGGAGGGCATTCGCAATCCATGGGATTCGTGCCTCTCCCGTTCCTCCAGGGAGGCCCCGCCTGAGCGAGGAGGGCATTCGCAAGCCATGTTATTCATCAGCAGTTCGATCCTCCACAGCACAGCCCTCCCCCGACCGACGACGCGCCAGCCTGCATCCACACGAACCCGGGTCGGCCAGGGCCCTGTCGCGAAGCCCGGCCGGTCGCTGTGTAGCTCCCGAACCTTTTTTTTCCTTCCAGGCGATCGTTGGCTCTGGGCGACACACATTCTGCAACGGCAAGATGCAGAGGTCATGGAGCACCTCTGGGAGATGGTGAGCCACAGTGCAATCAAAAACCCTAATAAAAACGCGCGGTAAGGACGCAAGACCATTGGAAGCCGAAGTTGGGATTTCTGGGGCGGCGGACGACGAAAACCTCAAGGACGCAATAGCAAGGAAGAGCAAGGACGCAAGGGTACCCTGAGCAAAGTCGCGCGTCCTTATTAGGGCTTTTGACTGTGAACGTTGATGTAGCTCCCAAACCCGGGCCAGCGGAGGCCGGAGACGGGGGACTCGGCCCCTCGTGGCTCCCAAACCGTGGCAGCCGGATGGGATGGGCTGAACCCCGTCAGCGCTGACCCCCGTGAACACGTGGGCCCCGACCCAACCACAACCGACTGCCTACCAGACCAACCCGTCCCCGCCCGACGTCGGAAATCTCGGGTTGGCCCCAGTGGTGTTTTTTCGATGTTCCAGGATGCCCCCCCACTGGGAATGGAGGACAACCTGGGGCCTTCGGGTTGGGTTGGGGTGATTTGGTGGGTAGTGAACAACCTCACGAGGCCAGCAGTCCAACCTCACGAGGCCAGCAGTCCGACCCCGAGGACCCGAAGACCTCGACCCGAAACGTACAGCCCTGACCCCGAACAAACCCCGCGCCCTGCAGCGCGCACGTCGCGCGGCGCGAGAGGCGTGGCGGGGAAGGAAGAGTCCTGCCATCTTGGTGGCGCCGTAGCCATTTTCACTCAAGCTCGGACGCGCTTCCCCACCGAGACTACTGAACGGTGTAGGCGAGCGCCGCCCGAACTTGCACCTTATCCGTCACCTGCTCGTGCAGCCGACCGCAGTGGACAAACACACATCATCATCATCATCATCATCATCATCATCATCATCATCATCATCATCATCATCATCATCATCATCATCATCATCATCATCATCATCATCATCATCATCATCATCATCATCATCATCATCATCATCATCATCATCATCATCATCATCATCATCATCATCATCATCATCATCATCATCATCATCATCATCATCATCAGCATCAGCATCAGCATCATCATCATCATCATCATCAGCATCATCATCATCATCATCACCATCATCACCATCACCATCATCATCATCATAATCAACATCATTATTACCATAAACAGCATCATCATCATCATCATCATCATCATCATCATCGGCATCATACTCACGCTCCTCATCAGCATCATCATCAGCGTTATACTCATCATCATCACCATCGTCGTCGTCAAAATCATAATCATCATCATCATCATCGTCATCATAATCGTAGTCGTCATCATCAGCATCATCAGCATCATCAACAGCATCACCAGCTTCATCATCTTCAGCTTCATCATCAGCAGTATCATCGTAATGACGATGATCATCATCATCATCATCGCCATCGTCATCCTCGGAATTATCATCAGCAACATAATCATCATCAGCATCACCGACATCACCATACTCATATTCATCGTCGTCAGTATCACCATCACCATAACCATCACCATAACCATCAGCAGCACCATCATCATCATCATCATCATCAGCATCATCATCAACCTAATCAGCATCATCCTTATCATCATCAGCATCGTAATCAGGATAATCATCGTCATCATCGTCATCATCGCCACCAGCAGCATCCTCGCCCCAGCAGCATCGTCATCAAAATCATCAGCATCATCATCATAAACATCGTCATCAACATCATAATAATAAGCGTCATCATCAGTATCAACATCATCAACATCTATCAGCATCATCATCAGCATCATCATCATCCTCGTCGTCGTCATCATCATCATCATCATAATCAACATCATTGATACCATACACAGCATCATCATCATCATCATCATCATCATCATCATCATCATCATCATTCATCATCATCGGCATCATCCTCACGCTCCTCATCAGCATCATCATCAGCATTATACTCATCATCATCACCATCGTCGTCGTCAAAATCATAATCATCATCATCATCGTCATCATAATCGTCGTCGCCATCATCAGCATCATCAGCATCATCAACAGCATCACCAGCTTCATCATCTTCAGCTTCATCATCAGCAGTATCATCGTAATGACGATGATGATCATCATCATCATCATCATCGCTATCGTCATCCTCGGAATTATCATCAGCAACATAATCATCATCAGCATCACCGACATCACCATACTCATATTCATCGTCGTCAGTATCACCATCACCATAACCATCACCATAACCATCAGCATCACCATCATCATCATCATCATCATCATCAGCCTAATCAGCATCATCCTTATCATCATCAGCATCGTAATCAGGATAATCATCGTCATCATCGTCATCATCGCCACCAGCAGCATCCTCGCCCCAGCAGCATCGTCATCAAAATCATCAGCATCATCATCATAAACATCGTCATCAGCATCATAATAATAAGCGTCATCATCGGTATCATCATCATCACCATCTATCAGCATCATCATCAGCATCATCATCATCCTCATCGTCATCATCATCATCAGCACCAGCATCATCATTACTACTAACATCATCATCATCATCGGCATCATCACCACCATCACCATCACCAGCATCACCACCACCATCGTCATCATCATCACCACCTTCATCATCACCATCATCATCATCATCATCATCACCACCACCACCACCTTCATCATCGCCGTCATCATCAGCATCATCATCGTCATCAGGTGGCGCTGGGCTCCAGTCGTGGATCTCGTCCGACGCTCTATGCTCGTGGCGACGTCGGATCTCAAAGGGTGGTGGACTCAGGAAGGCCGGGATGCTTCTGAGAAGGCCTCTCAGAGGCCGAGCGGGCATCCCCGAGAATCGGACGCACACTGACATAGGTTAGGGACACGTGGATCTGGTGCGCGGTCGCCAGATCCATGAATCGAGGAAAGTACTCCCCAAAATATGCAACCAATGCCGCTTGATTTGGTGACAAGGGACGTCGAATTCGCATGAAAACAGGACCGGTCGCTAATCGTCTGCGCTTCCGTGACCCCCGCCTCCACAGCCCTCGCGCCATCACCTTGTGCGCGCGGCCAGCCCTGGCTGTGAAAGATATCCTGCAGGACGGCTGCCCAATGGTCTCTACCCCTCGTCTCTGCGTGTTCCTGTCTCCGTACTCCTTCCTGTCTACTGGGATGGCACGCACAACCGGCAACAATTATCCTGGCGAAGGACCCAACCATATGCAGTTGTGAATGCCGCGTTGCGGGTACCGCTGTCGGTGGAGCTCCCTATGGGGCCACGATCCTCGTGAGGGGCGCGCCGAAATGGGCGGGGGGGACCCTGCCGCTGGGGCCTTCGGTGGAGTTCCCTGTGGGGCCACGATCCTCGTGAGGGGTGCGCCGAAATGGGCGGGGGGACGCATGCGGACCCTGCCGCTGGGGCTTTCGATGGGGCTCCATGTGGGGCCACGATCCTCGTGAGGGGTGTGCCGAAATGGGCGAGGGAACCCTGCCGCTGGGGCTTTCGGTAGGGCTCCCTATGGGGCCGCGATCTTCGTGAGGGGTGTGCCGATATGGGCGGAGGGACGCATGCGGACCCTGCAGCTGTGGCCTTCGGTGGAGCTCCCCATGAGGCCACGATCCTCGTGAGGGGTGTGGCGAACTGGGCGGGGGGACGCATGCGGACCCTGCC